AAAAAAAGCCGGCCGGCCGGGTCTATTTAAAAGTTTCATGTTATGAAAACCAAGTAATCAAATTTGTATGGCCTAATCGATAATTGTAGAATTTACTACGAACCAAAAGAACATAAAAACGTGCCTTTTTTATTTGCGACGAATATTTTTAGCATAAGGTAATAATAATTCGTCGACGTTGATAATGAGGTACTTGAACAATTATTTTTTTTTAATCAATCAATGAAAAATTTCGATCAATAACGAACTCTATAAAAAAGACGCCTGGGCCTCTATATCTCTTGTTGATTGGAATAATAAATACCCTTGGTCGGTCAAACGAACTTCAGCTAATAAAATATTTCTTTCTGACGTATTAAACTTTCGTTACAATACAATTGATTCGTTGAACTATTTTTTTTCTAATAAAATTTACCCTCAAACCCGTTCCGACGGTTGATTAAGGTGCTTGAGAACACCCTTAGACTGCCACTTTTCATATTTTAGCACTGTCTTATTTTTTAACTTCTTCAGGCTGATTCGCGTAAATAAACTTTCGGGTAAAAAAGTCACATGGGTACATGGCTTTAGACGATCCCTAAAATTAATAGGCTTTTAATTATTTTCTATACATATCATGGATACGCCGCGCTTAACGGTTATGCATTATCACATTTATGGGTCAGCTATGACTCGGTTACCCAGTAAGATGCACATGCCAACTTGGTACGTACGTACATATTTTTGGATGTTTTCTCAAAAAAACAGATTTTATAAATAATACTAACCAAAAACTTATCAGACTTAATCTCACAGAAAAATCTTATAGGATTTTTATTTAATAGACTAGTTATTAGTGTTCCACAAATGGATTCGAGATTCAGATTCGATCCTCGAATCCATAATTCATCGAACCCTGCGAAATTCAACCCGGATCTGTTATTACTGTACTACGAAATCCACTAACATAAAAACTCTACCCAAAGCTTAATCTAATAAATCTATCCGGACTTTTGAGCTTATTAAACAAGAACGATCTTTTTTCTTAAAAATTATAAGGACATATACAATATTATTATTGCTGTATATCGTATTCCTTTTTTATTTTTTATATTCGATCAGTGCGGAACACTACTACAATGAACTTAATTATGAATCAATATTTTAGTGATAGATTTAATTTTAAGTTTTGAGCTTTTTTGTTTTGCTCTTTGTTGTTACCCTTTTGACCTTAAAACACGTCGCTTTAAAGCGGACAAGTTATATCGTCTAAGGTCAACTCTACTAAACGTATAAATGTAGGCACTATTCCAATTTCCTCATTACGCTATAAAATTGGCCAAGTAAGTATGTTGTCTACTTACATTACAGATTATTTCTTCAATTTTCTTTGCACGGGACCTTCGAGATTGTTAAGCTTATCGTTATGAGGCTTTTAGTTACATCGTAACCAGAATGTAGCTGTCATAGAAGATATAAAAAAATTTTATTTGAGTAATGTATATTATAAAATTATTATAATACAACTTATTATATACGCTCAGACAAATTGGTATAGAGTAAACAACATCTTAGATATTATAACATTATCATAACTATTAAAAGAAAGCATAAAGGTTCTTTTGCACACAACTATTTGGCCGTCGAGGGTCACTTTTGTTTAATCAAACATGATAAAGTTTCCCTATTTCGACCTCAAGAGGGTGAAAACAACGCTATCTTTATTCAACCGAAAGAGCACTCCGTACTGGCTTCAAGAGAGTAAAAGATGCAATACAACTTCCACATAACTTTCTGGCCATTGAGAGTAACCCTCTTGACCTTAAAACACGTCGCCTTAAACATGTTATATCGTATAAGGTCTACACACAACTATTTGGCCGTCGAGGGTCACCTTTGTTTGATCTAAATATGATAAAGTGTCCCTATTTCGACCTCGAGAGGGTGAAAACAACGCTATCTTTATTCAACCGCAAGAGCACTCTGTTCTGGCTTCAAGAGAGTAAAAGACGCAATACAACTTCCACATAACTTTCTGGCCATCGAGAGTAACCCTTTTTTGACCTTAAAACACGTCGCTTTAAAGCGGACATGTTATATCGTCTAAGGTCAACTCTACTAAACTTATAAATGTAGACACTTCCAATTTCCTCATTACGCTATAAAATTGGTCAAATAAATATGTTGTCTACTTACATTACTGATTATTTCTTTAATTTTTTTTGCACGGAGACCTTAGGGATTGTTAAGCTTATCGTTATGAGGCTTTTAGTTACATCGTAACCAGAATGTAGCTGTCATAGAAGATATAAAAAAATTTTATTTGAGTTGTAAATTCTGTAAACAATAAATATAAATTTTATAATGTATATTATAAAATTGTTATAATACAACTATTATATACGCTCAGACATAATACAAACTGTAGTTTTTGATAACATGAAAATGAAAAATCGCGTCAGTTGTTTAAATCTAGCTGGAGCGATGATCATCTCGTTACACAAACGCGTGAATATGCTTATTTTGTGTTACACTAAGGGTGTTCTCAATGCACAAAAAAATTTACCCCCTCGTGATTTTTATCCAATTAGGATGTTAAGGTTAGGGGTTAGGGTTAGGGTTCCAGCCTCTGACCCGGAAAACCGTGTACCCGATTACCCGACCCGAAAAATTTACCAAACCGGGTCATGTTTTTGACAAACCGGTTTACAGCTGTTTTCATAAATCCTGGAAATCTGGCAAAACTGACCGACAGAATACCTACCGGTTCGATAAGTTTTTGTTTCGCAGGCGTGATTACAGTAATAGGGTGATTCAGAATTAAGGATCGGGTTTCTGATTTCGAATTAAATTAGTGATGTATTTATTTCGAAATCAATGGTCATAAATCTTATTTATACAATAACAATAACAATTAATACTTTTATGATTTTGTTAATAGAATATTCTATTAATACTCATAAAATACAATTAATATTCTCGAAGAAGAAATCGATGAACTGTTGGGACTATCGCAAACAATTGAATTAAACCGAAATTTTCTTTAGTTGTTTGTTTAAAAGTTTTTTTTGGGAGGCTTATTATTTGTGCGAAATAGTGATGGCGGTCCCGTGACTACTTCAAAAACAATGATATCCTAATTTTCGTCTAAAAATTGGTTACATTAATACAAAGTAGAAAGAATTTTTGTGCTGAAAACTTTTACATAATAACGAAGACCAATTTCCCTTGCGGATTTATAAGTTTTTTCGTGATTTTTCACCTTTATTTTTTTACTTCGCATTTGTTTGTTACCCATTGATCTTACAATTGGATTGAATAAAAACCACGGGACCGCTAAATTCACCATCATTTTATTAAATATTATTAATTAAGTAATTTATTTAAGAAATTTTTAAAAAAATTTAAACGATAATTTGTATATAGTTTTATTAATTTATTACGATAATATCATTTGGTAACAATACATTATCAAAAAAAAAAATAAAGTTACAAATTTTATTTCCGGATAACTCCTATTTCATTTATGCCTTTAAAATCCAAAACAGAATAGGATATTTTGTACCTCTACTTATTTTTGAAAATAAGTAATGAGTCAAAACCTATCGAATCGGCAAATATTCGGTCGGATAATTTTTGCCTGATTTTCCAGAATTTATGAAAACAGCTGTAATATGATATTTGGGTCACCCGTTAATAAATAGGTCACCCGTATATATTTAATAATATTGATACACTTAAATTATCGTTGTTTACTTGTTACTTCCTAATACAATATGAGTGCTGTCAATAGAAAACCTGTCATCGGCCATAG